ATCATATATATATATATTTATATATCAATCATATATGTATCAATCATATATATATATATATATCCTTAGTAGGGTGTTTTACCTAGTATGTTTTCCCAGTGTTCATTTGTTGTTTTGAGAATTTGAGAATCTGTGCATTGTATTTTTTTCTAGTCTTTTGCTCCTCCAATTCCTCCGCTCTGACCTTTACGATGAAATTATGAACATGCTATTACATTCACAGCTATATCTCGAATGTGCTTTGGATCCCTAAAACCCTAAACCCCTTTGTCATGTACGTTATCATACACACTACGTACGCACTGTACCTACCCTAAGAGAAATGAACAAGTATATCCTCGTACTACACTGCTGGTTAATCCATACCTCAGATCGAAGTATATGTGTTTGTATATGCATATGTGTATGTATATGTGCATGTATATGCGTATGGAATGTATATATGTATGTAAACGTGTAATTGTGTGAGCTCATGCATATGAATCTAAGTATACCCTTGCACACACGACCACGTGTTTGCAATATAGCGGTCACTGCATGCACACGAATGCACAATTACAGGTAGATCATCCCGACAACAAGGAGCGTGTTCAACCGGCAATCATCACACCCAACTCGAGCAAGTGCTTACTATATACAACATGTTTACTCTCCCATGCAGCCACTATACTGCTGGCAACGGAGAGCTTACCCTTCATCAACCAGTTCATGGGTTTGGAAGCGCTACCGACTGCTGAAATCCGCACGGGGGTTCTGACTGCCCTGATCTTCGACTTCTGTGGCTCTTTCTCATTGTAAGCATTATTCACTCATGAGTATATATATACATACATACATACATACATATATATATATATACTCACTCACTGACTCACTCACTCACTCACTCACTCACTCACTCACTCACTCACTCACTCACTGACTCACTCACTCACTCACTCACTCACTCACTCACTCACTCACTCACTCACTCACTCACTCACTCACTCACTCACTCACCCACCCACCCACTCACTCACTCACACACATACATATTATATATATATATATATATATTTATATATATATATTAATACATATATTACATCGATTGTGGTGTAGTTGCACGATATATTGGAAGCTACGGATATAAAGTTGGACTTTCTCTCCATTTTTATTTATTTTATGTATATGGTTTATCAGGTGCTGTTCGCAGTGAGAGATTACATTCTTATACAGATCTGAGTTCCCATGCGATGTACGGTAGTCCAGAAATAAGTGTGCATCTGGCGACGTTGTGCTTTATATCAGTGATATATGTCGGCTCTAGTTCATAATCCATTTCCACTGGCTAGTACCCAGTGCCTGGAGGTGTGCATACGTGTCATGTCAAACTACACTACCCAAATATATCGTTGTCCGGTTCCACATCAGTGCAGAATGGTGTACGTTTACTAAGCGTTTGAGTGTTTGCCGTTGGTTGTCGCGTCGTAGGTAGTACTCCTTCACCTCTTCTGTGTCCCACTTATGAGACCTATGTCTCTGTGTGCGCGGCCCCTGACCTGTCCGTACGGTACTCAGACTGTACCGATCTGTGCCATGTCAAAGTGGTGTCTATCTATAGGTCTACAGGTTTAGAGTTTAGTTCTTAGGGTTTACAACCCCATCCCGGAAGGATGCTTATCCCATTCTTGTTGTGTTTGATGTATTTGGTACTTATATTTCGCACTCCCCTAACGTCTGTATATAACCCACCAGAGATCGCTTGGTCACGCTCGTGTTCATGCCCGAAATCTGGAAGCACTCGAAACTTACAGCCGAGGATCTTAAGAGGGGCGCCAAGCTGGTAAGTGCATTGTACTTGGTATTTAGGTTTAGGGTTGTGTCCCCTGATAATTTGAGTGAAATTGGCTTTTGAGATTCACACTGTCGTGTTTTGGCTCATATCCTGATCTATTGGGTAGTGCTCGGTTCCAACAACACCTGGGCCTCGGGCGGGAGGATTGTACCACTGTTATATACATTTTGATCCAAAAGTTAAGGACAAATACAATCGGTGGAGACGCCCTATAATATCCCTCGAGGAGTGTTAGAAAGAAAAGGACTTGATTTTGGTCCCGAGAAGAGACGTGGAGGATGTGAGCGCCTATCTGTTGTAGAGCTTATCCTATGAGTTGTATCAGTATCACATCACACTGCTGACTTCTGTATTCTAGACATATATACATGCCACTCTCTGGTCATTAACATCCGCACTACTTGCCACTCACCTGCCCTGTCATCGTCGTATACACATCAGTTGATGTGGGCTGCTGCCATCATCTACTTCATAGTGCCACAGAACGAGGAGCAGCTGCTGGCGATGGAAATGTAGGTCTTTCGTGTTGCGTGTGTCGTGTGGATGGAAATGTAGGTCTTTCGTGTTACATATGTCATGTGGATGGAAATGTAGGCTTTTCGTGTTACATGTCATGTGGATGGAAATG